GGGCGCCCTCAGCGCATCGTCGCCGCCGCAGCCGCCCCTCGGTTCCGCTCTCCCTCCGGGTGGCCGGCCTGGAGCCTCGTGCGGCGCCGGAGCTCCGGGACTTCACGGGGGAGGAAAGTGCAGTGGAGTGTGCGCGTGCAGCGGGGACAAGAGTTGCGGGCAGGACCCCACGACTGGAGCGCTGGAGGGCTGGTGGTGGCGCCGCCGTGGGGCAGGTAGGGCGGGGGCCGCTTGCCAGCGGGGGACGAAGATGTGCCGGAGGTACCAGAGAAGCGAGCCCCCGCCTCCTCCTAGGCCTGGGTTTCCTTCATCTCAAGGAAGCGGCGAGTGGGACCCCTCTCCCCCCACGACCCCGTGCACCCCCAGGTGGGGTCTCGGAGCTCTCCAGGTGTGCCAGGTGCTATCTGGAAAGCATGGCGTTAAGTGTTGGCAGCTGAACGCTTCCCGCGCCCGCTTTTATTTCTCGAAGCCTTGCGATCCCGGGAGCGCGTTCATGGCTTACATTCGGAATTAGGAAATAGCAGTAGATACTCTGCTATCTTCTTGGTGCCTGCCATCTATTTTGCTGTTGTGCTTTTGCTGCCCGACAAATTATTTGATAAGAGATAAAGAATGACATAGTTGTTCACTTGAATGCAAAAAAAAAAAAATCTAAATTTAGAATCAAGTAGCGCGCTTTGTAGTTCAGGCTCCTTTCTCTTCCAAATGCTTAAAGAATAGTTTTACTAACAGGTTATGATGACATAGGTCCCTTTAACCCCTAACTGTAAACCCTGTTAGATATACTAGACGATGACATTATGTAAGCTGTATAAAAGAAATATTTATGCCCTGTAAATGGAAAAGGCATGCGTTTTTCATAATTGTGGTTTATAAAGTTGTGCAGGCTTACGTCATGGTGTTCAATGATCCGGGGTGTCATGAATCGTGCCATTTATTCTTTCAGGCACCTCTGTTTTGTCTGTGTGATGCTGATTAAGGAATATGCCAAATGTTAAGCAAAGTGTTCTCTCTCATCCATGGAACATATGGGATAGTTCAGAGAACACTTTAAAAACTTAATTCTTACATTACTGTTTTTTCCCCTCTTTTTAAGATGAAAGATTCTTAAATCTTGGAATAAAACATTTCTTGTTCTGAGGTCTGGAGTTGAGAGTTGCGGTGGTCTTTGGGAGGATGAAGGAATATAGTAACTGTAGCCATTACCTTTTTGTTTAAAGATCAAGCTGTATTAAGTGACTGGGCCAGTCCTAAGGCGATGGTGATATTTAGGTGTTCACATATGTGGTTGCTGATGCAAATGTAGGTCACCTGTGTCTAATGAGCCAGCTGCACAGCTGCCTGGGGTGTTTTAAGGGCTCCAGGCTTGTTCTGTTTGCTCCCCTCTGGAGATTTCATTCACTTGTGCCTCACGGTGAAGGTGAAGCTTAGTTTAGGAACCCTGATTTAAAATGTATAGCTGCATTCCTGTGGAGTAGAACACTCGTTTTTGTTTTTTTTTTTTTCCCTGTGAGATGTCAGAACGTATTAGTAAAATTCATTCTAAGCATTATCTTCCAACGAGAGTTTACTAACTTCTTAGATCCATTATTTAATATTCCATGTGCTTTTTAGATGTTATGGGTGGTCTATCTATAGTATACTTTGGCGTTAGAATTCATTTTGTCTACTTGCTTTTATACATTTATATAGGCTTCATTTGTATTTAACAAAAACTTTTTTGGGGGGAGTCGAGTGGGTTTTTTTTGAGACATGGTTTCCCTATGTAGCCTTGACTGTCCTGGAACTCACTCTCTAGACCAGCCTGGCCTCAAACTCAGAGTGGCCTACCTCTGCCTCTTGAATGCTGGAGTTAAAGTTTGTGTACCACCACTGCCTGGCTTAATAAAATCTTTTAAACTGTCATTTTTGATTTTGCATATCTGTTTCCTGATTTATGTCAGCTGAATATTTTCTAATTATCAGATTTTTTCTAGAACAAAATTCTTTCTGAAACAAAATATGGCTATATTATATATGTACAGAAAATGAAAAAATGTTTGTATAATGTCATGCCAGACTTAAAATTACAAGTTGTACACTTTACTGAGATACTGCCCTGTTTTTATAATCGGAAGCCATTATTGAATGCATTATTGAATGTTTTATTAAGTTAATAGGTTAGGTACTTTGAGGAATTTAAAATTATTAGAATTTTTTTAAATCTTGATTGTAAGCAGTCGGCATGGGTATGGTTGTGATAAAGTTAGGTTAATTGTAGGAGACGAATACATTTGGCTTTAACAAGGATAACTTGGAGAACCTCTTTGGAACACCCCGTGCTCAGGCACTCACAGGAGGCAATACAGTGGAATGCGGTATATCTAGAATGTTATGTGGAAATTAGAGCTACTGGCCAGAGAGAGACTAACAGGCATGCTTTGTTGGGGACTCAGGAGCGAGGGATTAGCCAAAGGCTACAGGAAGTGGGAAACTTGTTTAAAGTTGCATGTTTGGACTGTGAAATTTTCTGTGCATTTTGCGATTTATACTGTAACAGATTTGTGCTGCCTATAGAGCAGAAAACTTTTTTTTTTTAATCTGCATTTTCTGTTGAACCAAGTTAATACTCAGAAAGCTCTCCTGTTTCATTTGAGTTGTAGAGCATCCTGGAGACTCCCTATCCTGCTCAGTCTGTGGGACAGAAAGTGGCAGATAACTTGAATTTAGCTGGACCATGGTGGCGCACACCTTTAATCGCAACACTCAGGGTGCAGAGGCAGGCAGATCTCTGTGAGTTCGAGGCCAGCCTGGTCTGCAGCATGAGTACCAGGACAACCAGAGCTTTACACGGAGAAACCCTGTCTCGAAAAACAAAAAACAAAATAAAAGAGAACTTGAACTTAGAAGTTATTCAAAATGGGGCTTCTTATGGGGTTTCTTTCCTTGTGTGTAAAATAGGCTTTGCACTGCTTGCCCTGTGAGGACTTAGTGTTTAAGGCACGTAATGGGTTCAGAATGAAGGAAGAAGTCAGTGAATTACAGCGGCTATCATCACCATCATTCTTTGTCATTTGTCCCTGTGGTCTTTCTTGGCTAGTAGAGATTTCCGGTGATTTGTTGTGCTGAGAAATAGCTGAGGTGGTAGTTTGTGAATTGCCTGCAAATGGCTACTTTAATCAGGCATGCCCTTCCACCGAGAGATTTGTCTCTTGGGTTCCTTAGTTGTTTTTGGGGGGGTGCATTAACTTACCGCCCTCCCCCCGCAGAGGGTCATTTAGTGTATCACCAAGAACATCTTGTGGTGCTGCCCATGGATGCCACTAGAAATGAGCGCACATCTCAGATGGTCTGACATGCCCCTAGGGGATGAGGCCAGTTGTGCGTGGCGTGGACAGCACAGTGGCTGCATTTGTTGGCTTGTTTTTCTTTTTGATACAGTTGATACTTGTTGAAAACCTATTTTGTGCTGGGCATGATGCTTAAGTATGTTTAACAACCTCATTTCTTTTCAGTTCTTCAGAAATTTAGTTAGATAAGGAATGATCTTCCCAATTTCCCGAGTGAAAGCAACGTGATGGGATTGGGTCATTGCTGAGAGAGTGTGGCCTGGATTGCTACCTCTTCTGCATGCATAAATATTTCCAGCTTTCTCTTTCAAACCTAAGATGAGGCTATGCACTCAGGAGGCAGAGGCAGATGGATCTCTGAGTTCAAGGCCAGCTAGTTCACAAAGTGAGATCCAGGACAGACAGAGCTGTTTCACAGAGAAACCCTGTCTTGATAAAGCCAACCGCCACCCCCCAAAGATGAGGATAAATAGCATTGATAACGGCAAACTTTCTGTGATTTATGTAATATGGGGAGTCAGGACTGGTTGCTTTATGTCGTGGATGAAACTTGGAGGCACAGATGAAAGAGTCACACTGCATGGGTGGGGTGGGGTGGGGGCACGTAAGTAATGTCAGCTGGATTGGGAATTCAGGCCATTTGACTTTTCTAATCATTATAGTTGTACCTTCTCCTGCTTTTATTTATTTTTTTAAATCATTGCTTGTTATTGTGCAGCAGAATAATAATGGGGAAGAAGCTCGAGGCTCAGTTGTTAAAGAGGTCTCTTTGGGAATCTCTGGACCCTATAACTTCTTTCTTTCAATGAATAACCATAATTTTTTTTTTTTTCACGGTCAGAACCAGCCAGGAGTGAATAAAGTTTGAAGCCCCCTTTCTTGGAGTTCTTGGAATTTTCCTTACAATTGTGCTATAAGAAATGAATAGTTTTTATATGGGGGATGCTCTCCACACATCCGCTGTGGCCTTGACAAAGTGTGCTGCTTCTGCTGAATAATAAATGGAGAAACCTCCGCTTTGCGTTATTTAGCAAGTTTTTCTTTCTCTACTCTACCTGACAGGAAGAAGAAGAAAAAGAAGAAGCCCTCAGCCTGCGAAGACAATCCAGACGAGCTTTGCCCGCTGCGTTGCTGCCGACACCTCTGCCTTGCATCTGAGATGCGACTCGTCCATCAGCTGCTGCTTTTGCTCTAGCACCAGGCGGTCTGGATTCTGTTGACTTGTGGCTGAGGAGAGGGTCTTGCTGTTGTCCCAAGCGTATGAACCGGTGTGATGGTGAAATGAGATGAGGCTCCGAAATGGAACTGTGGCCACGGTGTTAGCGTTTGTCACCTCGTTCCTTACTCTGTCCTGGTATACCACATGGCAAAATGGGAAAGGTAAGGGGGAGGTCCCCGGAACGGTGCTGGGGCACAGGTCTGTGCTGACCTGGTGAGCGAGTGGAAACGCTGCAGCAAAGTAGCCTAAACCTGCATGTTGCGTTCTTTCTTCTGGTGGCTTCTTTTTGACACAACAGTGAAACAGTATTGGACAGAGAGAGAGCAGGCTTCCTCACTCCAATTAGTTTGTTTTCTTAGAACACACTTTGGAAAGTCAAGTTGAATAACAGACTTTTTTACCTTTTTAAAAATGAGGAATACTAAATGTTTGATACGCGTTGATATATTGGGTATTGCATAAAAACACTTATTAGGGCATTATCAAGGCTTTCAAGAAACATGCATACTAGTTAAGATGCTGGTTTAGTGCAGTGTAGTTAATACATGCCTTGACAGATTGCTCCTTTGGCAAGAAAAAGGCAATGAGGAGAAATTCTGATTGGAATAGTAAGAGTCTTATAGATGATAATTGTGTTTAGACTCTAGAACTGCTATCTGTTTTTTAGAATTATGTCAAGGGGTGACAATTGTTTTTTTTTGTTTTGCCTTCCCCCCCCTTGACATTGATTTAAGAGATTTTGACGGTAGGAAGATCAGAAGTGTTGGAGCGACTGCGTATTTATTGTTAGAACCCTCCCGCCTTTATCACCTGGGGTATTTGAAAGCTTCTGTTATGGAACTTTCTGGCCTGTGAAGACAATTGAAAAGATTGTTTTATGACTAATTTTTTTCCTGTTATACATTTGTATCTATAGACCTGTGTTAGTGATTCATACCTCTCTGGGCATATACACATTAAAACACATTTGACTTGTAGTTATGTGCATGTGTTTGTGTGCAGTAAGTGGATGGACATGAGAAGCACATGCTTTATGCCATGGGTGAGTCTAACATTCTTTCCTATTTTTTTCTGAGTTGGGTTCTAATTTAGGAGGCACTGGGGAAATATAGGTGAAAAATTTGCTAAAGGCAGGTTCTTGGGGGTATACTTTCTAGGTTTCAGCTTAAAATAAAAAAAATATTTTTTAAATTTATTTTGTATGTGTGCCACCTTGGTATTATTTGGATGTCAGAGACAGCTTTCAGGAGTTGGCTCACTCCTTCTGCCTTGGGTCCTAGGTATTGAACTCAGGTCATTAGGTTTGAGGGCAGGCACCCTCATGCCCTGAGCTGGCTCTCTGGCATTGTTTCAGTTTTTGATTGCACCTAATGAGAGGACTTAATTAGGAAGACTCTTGAGTCAAAGTGATGATTGTTCTTGACATAAATAAAACAAATGACTCTCTGTTAAGAAAATTCACTATAACAAAAGTACTTAGTTTTTTTTTTGTTGTTGTTGTCAGGAAAGTTACCTATTGAGAGTTTGAGTAATACAGAAACTCAACTCTTCCCACTGTGTCTTGTTTTAGAATCGTTCTGCTTTTGATATCATTTCTGAAGTATTAGCAGCATTACTAGTTTTCTTTCTTAAAGCTCCATCAATTATAATTTGTGATTATATGATTATCTTTAGCATGGAGAGGAGCTGGGAAGGTGGAGGTGCCTTCCCCCCCGTGCAGGGTTGTGCGCGGTCTGTTCTCTTGGCTGTTACTCTCTGCAGTCTTCCCCATGCTGTTTTTCTGCTTTGTGTGTTGCTCAGGCGCAGGGGTTAACCCAGGCCTTCTGTTGGCTTGTGTAAAATCCCCTGTGCTGATTGCTGTCGTTTATGTAACCACTCTTAACTGTTGAGTATTGGATTCTTTCTAGAGAGTTCTGACAGCGAGATAGCCTGGATTTTCCAGGGCAGACCCGATTCCACATATTCCATCTAGTGTTTCTAGGAAAGTGATTTCTAATATCTTTAACACTGCTGGAACCTATGGAAGCATATTTTTTTCTGTCACTCCTTACATATACCTGTATGTGTGGTTCCTTCCGTATTCTTGTCCTGTGCCTAGTGCTCTGTTACAAGCCTTGAAAATGAGGAGAGTCCCATGGCTTTGCATGAGGACTGGCAGGAAAGATGAACGTCAACAAATATGGAATTGTCAGGGGAGATAGAGGCAGTAATGGTGCCTGTCCTGTTCCATGTATATTAGTCACTTAATCCTCATAATCCTCAGGAACATTACTGCCCATCTTCTGTAGTTGGAGAAATCGAGGCAGAGTGCTTGAGACACTTGTCAAGGCCATGCGTTCATTCTATAGTAGACCTGTGGTTGGGGCTTACGTCCGTAGCTATTAGGTCCGCTCCCCGGAACAGTGGAGGCAGAGGCCAGGCCAGGAAGTGACCATGTCAGGTGCAGGGCTGAATTCTGAAATGGAATAGAGCATGTGTGCTTTGTAATTAGGAGCTGCTCATTTTTAACCGGCGTGGGTTCTGAGGCTGGCTCAAGGTGCCACTGGAAAACACAGTGTACACAGCTTCTTAGGGAGTGCTAGTTTGGTATAATCTGCATTCACTACTTGGAGAATCAGAGCTAGCTAGCTCAGGAAACAGGTATAATGAGGAAGCTGTGATTCAGGGCAGAGAGCCAGTTCATCAGGGCATACTGGATTCCCACATAAAAATGAGAGAGAATTCCAGGTACCTGGAATGGTCAGGCTGGGAAAGTTGTAGGCGGGTTTGGGTGAATGGGACCAGAACAATTCAGTGTGTCATGTGCTGGTGTGAGTAGGATGTTATTGAGCTTTCTGCATGGCCAAACACAGTACAGAAACAGGAATACCAAGTAAGCATCATGAATCTCTGCATGGGGGTGATTCTGTGTCCACGTGCCTGACTCAGGGCCACATGCCACGTCTCTAAAACACGTTGTCTGCTCAAGTGATTGCTTCAGCAAGAATGTGTATGGAAAAATTTAAAACAGCCTTATTGAGTTATAGTTTACATACTAAACAGTTCATTCATTTGCAAATAATTCATTTTTTAAGGGGAGAGGCTGTCTACACACTGACACATACATCCGTTACCCTGCTGGGGTAGAGTGCTGAGTGATGGAGGACTTGCCCGCTATGCATGAGGCTGTGGGTTCAAAGGTTGTGTACCGTTTAGCTATCCCAGTACCTCTCCTCCCTGCCCTAGGCTGTTGCTGATCTGCTTTCTGTCTCCAGATATTCCTGATCAGAGCTTCAACATGCTGGAATTGTGTAATGTGTGGTCTTCTGTGACTGTTGTCTTTCTGTTAGCATGCGTTCACGGTCCAGCTGTGATGTGACATAGATCAATCCTTCATTTCTTTCTTCAGATGAATGGTGTCCGTGTACCTATGTGTATAGGTGCATGTGTAGGGCCTATTTTGATGTCTGTATCTTCAGCTATTAATTTCCACATTTTTAAAAATTTTTATTTATGTGTCTCTGTGTATATGTATGCATGAAGCATGTGATTGTCGGGGCTGGGAGAGGACACTGACACCTTGGAAGCTGGAGTTACTCACATGGGTGCTAGGAATGTAATTCTGATTCTCTGGATGTGCAGCAATGCTCTTAACTACTGAGCCAGTCCTCTTTACCATATTTTTTGAGTCAGGGTCCTTAACTGAACCTGTTTTGGCTTGATTGACTGGCCAGCAAGTCTCAGGGATCCACCTGTCTCTTTACCTCCAATGTTGGGGTTTTAGGCACTGTTATCATGCCTAGCTTTTTTGTGGGTCTTGGGGATCCAAACTCAGATCTACAGAGCAAACCCTTTACCCACTGAGCCATCTTATCAGTCTCTAATGATGTCTCTTTATATGGACGCACCAGATTTGTGTTATCCCATTGATGGATGTTGGGTTTTCTGTATCTTCTGGTTCTTGGTGATAAAGCTGTAAACACTCATGAACTTGTTTTATGTTTTTCTTTCTTTTGGGGATCTGTTGAAAAGCAGAATTGCCAGGATTGCTGGGTCATGTGGTGACTCCATTCACTCATTTAAGGAACGTCAGCTGTCCAAGTGGCTGAGTCTGTATACATCTTTTTGTTTGTTTTTGTTGTTTTTCGATTCAGGGTTTCTCTGTGTAGCCCTGGCTGTCTTAGAACTTGCTCTGTAGACCAGGCTGACTTCAGACTCAGAAATCTACCTGCCACTGCCTCCCAAGTGCTAGGATTAAGGCCTGGCCACCATTACACGTTGTTATTTCATTGTTTTATTGTCTGCATATGTCTTTGAAGCTACAGTCTTCCTGAAGACAGCATGTGATTAGATTTTTTCATTCATTTCAATCACTTTTTTATTTATTTGTTGGTCCATTCATATCTAATGTTTATTGTGATGTAGTTAGAATTATTGTTTTTTTGTCTTTCATATTTCATGTCTTCTTTTCCCTCTACTTTTCTCAAATTGTTTTTTCTCTGTGTAGCCCTGGCTCTGTGTTACCACTGCCTGGCTGTTAATAAAATTCGAATGTAGCATTTAGAATTAATTTATGATATTTTCAACTCTGAGATTCCATCTTACACATGTAAGAATGACCAAGATCAAAAACACTGATGACAGCTTATGCTGGAGAGGATATGGGGTAAAGGGAACACTCCTGCATTGCTGGTGGGAGTGCAAGCTGGTACAAGTGCAAGCCGCTTTGGAATTCAGTTTGGCAATTTCTCAGAAAATTAGGAAGCAACCTACCTCAAGACCCAGTAATACCACTTTTGGGTATATATCCAAAGGATGCTCAATCGTGCCACAAGAACAATTGCTCAATTTATGTTCATAGCAGCATTGTTTGTCATAGCCAGAACCTGGAAACAACCTAAATGCCCCCTTGACTGAGGAAAGAAAACCCAACCTACAGTTCATAATCCCAGAGAACCTAGACAACAAAGAGGACCCTAAGAGAGACATGCATGGATCTAATCTACATGGGAAGTAGAAAAAGACAAGATCTCCTGAGAAAACTGGGGGCATGGGGATCATGGGAGAGGGTAGAAGGGGAGAGAGAAAGGAAGTGAGAGGGGCAGAGAAAAATATATAGCTCAGTTAAAAACAATAAAAAGGAAAAAATATGTTTTCACCATTTTGAGGTATTCTTTTAATG